ATTTACTTTACTTCATGAAACACCTAGGAACCATTCCTATTTCTTTAGATTTCTAATGGACATTATCTGGGAGAGCAGGAGCATGGTGTCATGGTGGACTGCTGGACCTGGAGGCAGGAAGACTGGGAGTTGAATTCCACTTCAGACACTCACTAGTTGTGCAAGTCACTAAACCCTCTGGGCTTCAGTTTCCTCATCAGTACCGTGAGGGGATTAGATTTAATAACTTCTAAGGTCCCTTCCAGCTCAAAACCGACAATCCTATCAATTCTGGACACAGTGAACCCAGAATAAAAACTGTATCTATCTGGTTAGACACATTAGAAGTACAGAGCAAATCTCAAAAATACATTACAGAGGGGGCAGAAATAAGTTATATGGCTAGAAAATAAAGTCTAAAATACTTTACTTGAAACCTTTGAAACTGAGCAGCTATTTACTGTGGACCACATGTGTCTCAAACCTTTGATGGTGAAGGGAAAACCTAACCTGAGGGAATTTTGCTGTGAAAGATTTGGAAAAAGAGATCACCCTTTCTGCACAAATATATAATTTCTCCCTAACCGAGATCCATGCTCCACAGTTGCCAGAAATGGCATAATATTGAATTCTAGAATCTCAATGCACCCTCCCTGCTGCAACTGCTTTGGAGTTCACCCAGACCTCTGTCTGATCTGTTCTGTTCTAAACTTTTCGTGTATTGGTGTTTTGTTTTGGGGATGAGGGCAAGGGATACTTCTTTCCATTTTAGTCTGAGTTCATTCTGGTGCTTGAGTTGGGGCATGGAAGGAGAACTATTTTTCTTTTTGTGTCTGATTTCACTTCCCCCTTCTGAGGGATGTAAACCAGAGTGCCCATCTTGTCCTTCCACTTCCTTCTTTCTACTTTTCTCACCTTACCCACCCTTTCTCCCCTTTATTTCTTGAATCCTTTCCTTTACTCTCTCCACATCCCCAATACCAATGTCAGGGATGTGATTAGGTTTGGGGACTGGAGAGAAATCTTTCCCTTTTACCTCCTGTCCTCTCCCTTCTTCCTTCTTGCAAGCTCCAAGTTATTTTCTCTGGTTTTCAAATATTACTATTCCATGCTTTGGGGAAGGAAGTGGATATATCAAAAGTGGGAGAAGTTTATTTTCTGTGGAAGCAATTTATGCCTTTTGGAAATGGCACAGGCTTGATTTAACATTTAAAGACATTTTTGGTGACACTGAATTAATAGGTATAATTGAAAAGAAATGTACTGCTTTCTCTGATTTCCAAAGAAAAGAAAGACACATTGATTTAATACATCACTAAATTATCCTATTGGGCATTCTGCAACCCTCAATTTTTTTTGGCATATGCAACTTTAATCAAACAAACAAAAAAAAAGGAAAAATCCCATATGTACATTAAATGAAAAATTTTGAAGTGTAGACAAAAGTAAAGTTTAACGGAGGGAGTCCAGCCACTTTTATGTATAGCTCAAGTTCCAAAAATACCATCTTATGGGTCTGTACAAAAGGGTTTATACATAAAGTCTGTACGTGAACCTTCATTTTTAAATAGCCACCAGAATCATGAAAAGTAATAGAATTATCCCAATGCCTCACTATTCAACTTAATGATAGAAAACTATTTCCATCAGTTCTGAACAAAATCTAGTTTTCCATAAATATACTGTACCATGTTTTCGAAAACTAATCTCAGAACTTTGTTTCCTCTTTTTCATGCATAAATAACATTTACTTATTCATTTCCTGAAACTGGAAAATACATACCTCAGTGAATATGTTTCTGTTTGAAAGAAACATTAGCATAATTTAAATGTGTGTGATCAGCATTCTTCATTACTAACTTCACCATCAGCTGTGTGCCTCAGATTTAACTATTCAGCTTGTTAGAACAAGGTTATATTTACTTATTTGTAAGTGTGAAATTTGGATTTTCTTGCTCTTGTATACTGGTTATGTAAGGTCTTAATCACACAGTTCTTCATTCACAACATATTGAAGCATTGAACCCAAGGCTATTGAAGGAATGATTATAGATGGGTAATTGTCATCCTGAAGAATAATTTTAAAATAGTATCTCTCTGGGTGAACTCGGAGCCCAATATTGGTTCAGATTTCTATTAGTGATTTGAATGGTAGAATAGAGAGCATACTCTTAAAGTCTTCAGATAAGAGACAAATGAACAAGAAGTTAGGAGAGAATACAAAAATTTCAAATACATTTCAATACAAATAATTCAAAATAAAATTCAATACAAAAAGTCAAACTGAATAAAGTCCATTTAGAACAAGGCACGTGAGGAACAAAAGGTAAAAAGAATATTCTCCTTTGACAGAAAAGGATTCAAGGATCATAGTAGATTACAATATGGATGCATTAGCATGAAATACTATGACTTACAAAGCAAGCCCATTCTTGGGATAGCCTAAATAAATTATTATTATATACATATAAAAATATGTTAATCATAATGAATCAGTTGATCAATCAACAGGCATTATTTATCAAGTGCCTACTATGCACTAGATACTGTGCTAAGCACTAGAGACACAAAGACAAAACAGTTTTGTCATCAAGGAGTTTACAATCTAGTCAGGCTAAACAACATGCTCATAGATAGGTACATACAAAATAGATACAAAAATACAAGATTTTTTTTGGAGGGAGTTGGGTGGAAGACACTGTAAGTTAAGGGAATCAGGAGTAGAAGTACTCTATGTAGAAGGTGGAACTTGTTCTCAGCCTTGAGGTTAACTAGGAATTCTGTGAGATGTAGGGAAGAGGACATGCATTCCAAGCATGGAGGACAGCCATTGCAAAGGTATACAGATTGGATATGGAATGCTGTATATGAGAAACAGTAAGAAGTCCAATTTGGCTGGACAATAATGTATATAGTGATAAGGATGGAAAGGCAAGTAGGACCAGATCCTGAAGGGCTTTAAATGACAAACAGAGGAGTTTATATTTGATCCTAGAGGTAAAAAGAAGCCACTGGAATTTGTTGAATAGGTGAAAAACTCAGACCTGTGCTTTAAGAAAATTGTTTTGGTAATTATATAGAAGATGAATTGCAGAGGGGAAAGATGTGGCATGACAACTAATTAGGAGGCTTTTAAAATAGTCAAGGGAAGATCTTATGAAGGCCTGAACTAGAGTGGAAGCTTGTATGAATAGAGACAAGGGAAAAGAAGTGAAAGTTGTGGTGGAGGTAGAAATGAAAAGATTTTGCAATTGATTAGATATATAGAGTGAGTGAAAGTGAAGCATTACAATACTGGTTGACTGGAAGGATAGTGGTCTTCTTGACCACCACAGGGAAATTTGAAAGAGGAGTGGGTTAGGGGTGGGAGTGGGAGATGGGAATCAATATGTTCTGTTTCAGACACATTGAGTTTATGATGCCTCTGGGACAGCCATTCAAATTTCTAAAAGGCAGTTGGTAATATAAGACTAGTGCTCTGGAAAGAGACTAAAGCTGGGTATGTAGATCTAGAAGCCATCAGTTTATGGATGATAATTAAATCAGTGTGAACTGATGAGGTGACTAAGAGACAGCATGAAGAGAAAAGGACTAAGAATAGAGCCTTAGGGTACGCCCACAGTTAAGAGGTGTGATGTGGATGATGGTCCAGCAAAGGAGACTGAGAAGGAGCAGTCAGATAATTGCAGGAGACCCAAGAGAGAGTTGAGTCACAAAAACCCAGACAGGAGAGAATATCCACATGGAGAGGGTGATTAATAGTGTCAAATGCTGCAGAGGTCAAATAGGATGAGAATTGAGAAAAGGCTTTCAGATTTAACAGTTAAAAGAACATCATTAATTTTGGAAAGAGCAATTTTAGTTGAGTGATATTAAAATCCAGATAACAAAGGACTGAGTAAGAGAAGAAATATAATGAACTCAGCTATCTTCTTCTCAGAGATTGGCTGAGAAAGAGAGAAGACATTTAGGACTCCAGCCTGAGGGAATCATAGGGGTAGTGAAAATTTTTTTAAACATTGAGCATAAGTCAAATCTTACAATTCTACAAGATGTTAATACCTCAGAGGAGATCCAGGATATTTTGGAGTCATTATTCTGCCATCATGAAAAATAGAAAATAAGAAATAACTTGCATAATCTGACTGTTAAATGAATTAAAATTAAAACAGAAAGGTGGTTCCCACAATAGAAAGATTGACCATAGAGATCTATACCAACTGGAGTGTTAAGAGTATGGAGTGCTACACAAGTGGGCGTTGCTCATATAGGTTCTAAAAAACAGCCTTGCCTAGTGTCAACAAATTTCATCACGAAAACATGATGCAGTAATCCAAGGAACACAGACTCGTGGGAACATAGAAAAATGACATTGCAAAACTTTGAAACTAACTTAATCCAAAAATTTCTCTTTCTTTTTTGACCAATATTCTCTTGAAGGCTATCAACTGACTTTCCTTTCTTTTCTGTCTGGGGAAGGAAGATGACAGTTGATGGTGATACACAAAATTTTTTTACCTTTCCACCCATTTAAATTACTCTGACTCCTTAGGGCAAATCATTTGACCCCTAGAAAATATTGCTGCTGTGTTTAACTTAAAATGAATTAATACTTTATTGGAAGTTACATCTTCCAAGCTAACCACTTATTTGGTCTGTCTGAAACATTATTTAAAATTTTTATGGATGCCTTCCTTCCAAGGAAGGAACACATTTCATTCATACTATCTTACAAATAAGAATGAACCCCAAATCCAAGCCTCAACATGACCTAAAATGCTTCCAGGGAAAGTTGCTATAAGAATATTAGCTGTTCCCATATGGTAAAGGGAGGAGTGGGGATCAGGAATTGAAGAAGGATTTCATTCCATCTAGTTTTCTTATCAAGGTCTTGCATGATTTATTTAAGAGATTAGTAGAAGGAATGAAATTTTTAAAAATGTAACCAGTGAACACTGAACCTAATGACATCATGCTTTTCTCTCTTCCCCCCCCCCCTTTTTAACTCCTTATCTTGGAAGTATTGACATGAAGCTGAAAGAAAAACTGTAGCTGGTGGGGGTTTGCAGGAGAAGATGATCCCTGAATTGAAGCCCTTCTAAAACATACGTACCTAGAAGAGAAGAGATGACTGATGACTCACTTTGCACTACCTGGTGCCATTGGAAACTTCAGGGTGGAGGTGGGGGGAAGCAGTGGTGAATTTTTTTCATTTAACCATAGTTTTATGTAATTGTGTGTGTGTCCAATTAAGTTATTATCCTGTGATCATGAACCTCATGTACTCTTTAGTTAAACCCTCCCAAGAAAGCAGAGAGTTCTGTTTGTATGCATTGCTGACTGTAATATCTCTCACCTCCATCACTACCCTCAACCTCTTAGATAAGCCAGACAGGAATATTAAGAGATAAGGCACTTTAATTCCACAGATTACTTCTTTTCCTTCATAAGCATTTTACATGAAGACAGTTTCATGTCTTCCTGTGTTATACTTACCCTATCTACAAAGCTTTCCCTACTCACATTGGTCCATAGGTCACAATACAGGGTGTGGAACCTTGATCCTTGAACTACATAGCTCAACAATTAGTGAGCATCCCTTAAAGTAACTTCCCAGAAAGAAATTCTTGCTTGAACCCAAACCAATTTTGTTTTTTATTTGTCTCATCTGACAGCTTTATTTTTCTTAATATATGGTCTTTTAAAAAACTGTTTATCACACAGTACCTAAGGAGGCATCCTAAGGCTAGGGAAGGTGAAATGCAACATGTGTATGGTTTCATGGGTACTGTGATACCTTTAGTCCTTCAGTCTGGACTCTCAGCTTAGTATGGGTCCTGTTATCTGAAAATATTAACAGCATACAACAGCAAACACAAAATAAGTGAACCACTCATAAAAACAAATCTGCTGTAAGATTCTATCCTTTGACTATAGGCTTACAATGTGCTCTTATTTATAAAAAATAATTCCTTCTCATTTTATCGATATGCACCATTTTACACAGCAACTTTATTTTTAATTTGTGTTTGAATTTTAATTTAAATATCATGCACATTTTTGCTTTGTTCATTTGTATTTAAGTATGTATTTACCCAATAGAATACATAAGTAAACACACCTAAATTTATTTTCTGTTTTTATAAATGATATAAATCCCTTTTATACCATTTGAGAGTAAAATGCATAGTCTTTTGAAAAAAAGATGGCAAACCACTGACCACAAAAATGTTTGTCTGGCAGTATTTGTTTACATGGCCAAAATGGAGGCTGTTCTTAAAAAACCTTTAATGGACAACATTTGATGCTAATCTCACTTTTTTTCTATATATGTGTTCTTAACTTCCAATACTACCTATCATCTGTGGGCTAGAATGAATGAGAGTCATGGAAATAAAGAGTTTCCACTCCGTACTGCTGTACGGATTCCAGTTTTATGCCATGGAATGATGGTTCTTTACCTTTTCTGGGAGAGACTTTTAGAATCTTAAATACTCAAGTGGATCTATGGTCTCATCAATTTGGAAGTTCTCCTCCCCACCCCCAACCCTCACCATAATGATGCCCATCACAGTGCCTCTGTGGCTGCCCATCCTGGACAACTTTTGTCCAGGTCCTCCCATAAGTTTACTATAGGGTTCCTCCCAACCTTTGGATATCAAATTGAATTTAACAGCCTCCTCTTTGCAACTTTTATTCCTAACTTCTCTTTTCTCTATAATCAGCAGACTTTTCCTTTCTTTTATCTCCAGACTTTTCTGTCTTTTCCCATTCCCTAGCCAAGACCTGTCAGTCCTGGTCCCTTTTAATTGACAAATGTGCCTGTGATTAAATCATTTCTTCCAAATACTTTAGATTCCATGCCCAACCCTACCTCACACTTCCAAAAATTCCTGCCCTAGGGAGCACTGGCCATCCCAGGCTATTGTATTTCACTTCTGGAAACCAGGTACAGTTCTGGGGAGATAAGCTTGAAGACACATATAAATTGGTAGAAGGCAGAGGTCATTTCCAACTAGAGAATAGGCTGAAATCTCACCATTGGACATGGCTTTTGATTCATCCTGCTGATTTATTTGAAATAGCCCTGGTAATCCACAGTTGTAGGCTTTATCTTCACTGACTCTACCTTGGATATCTTTACAAGTCAGTGGCTTTCCTTGGGCTTCTCCATTGTTTGCATGCCAATTCTGATATTTAGTTCTTTGCTTTTATATTCCACTAAAAAAGATAGACAATTAAATTAATTCTGCTTTCTGAAAGAAAGGTACTGTGCAAATTCAATTCAAAAAATCCAAGGAGCTGAAAATAATACCTAAATATATAGATATCTATACTGACCTTCACATTCTGATCAGTTTTGCTCTCTGGTTGACTTTTGGAAACTGCCTAGCACTTTACCTGTGAGTCAGTGGTTAGAAGAATGGAAGATTTGGGGGGACATTATTGCCTTCAAATGATGCTGTTCCCCACAAAACACTTCCCTTAAATGAACAAGTGGAAATGTTCATGGCCTAGGCACTCAGACAGTGAGAAACTTTGTTTGAAGGCGACAGCTGGGTGTGGGGGGAAATCCTGAAGCTCCTATTGAAGCCATATGATGTTTAAAAACAGGTTTGACAATAAGACCTACCTTAAAGCTTATTAGAAAGTCTGCTCGTAAGTGTCATCTTTAAGATATCTTAAATATTCAACTATGGTAATATGTTTGCAGTTATATCAATGCCTCTCAGTAGCTGATTCACATAGAAACACTTAGAATTGCACAAATTAATCTTTTATATACAAATGGGTTTTTCTACTATGTATCAGTTTGCTCAGAATAAAGTATATCTAAACTATTAGATTTTGATTTGGTAAAATCTCTATCTACATGTAACAATGATGCCTAAATTGTATAGACTAACCAATACAGAAATATGTAATAACATTGTATGTATGGCCTCTCTATAATTCTGAAATAAAAGCTATAATCTCAGATATCATTGTATTTCCTCTTTAGCCCTATAATGATTTTTATGCAAATTCAGTATGTGTCAGGCAGTCAATAAGCATTTATTAATCCCCTGCTATGTGCCAGTCACTGTGCTAAGTGCTGAGAATACATAGAAAAACAAAAAAATAACAGTCCATGTCCCCAAGAAGTTCATAGTCTAATGGGGGAGAGAACACACAAAAAATTATATATAAACAGTGTGTGTGTGACACACACAAACACACACACAGTAAATTGGAGATGATCAACAGCAGGAAGGCAGCAGAATTTAGGGGCATTAGAAAAGGCTTCTTGCAGAAGGTGGTCTTTAGCTGAGACTTGGAGGAAGTCAAAAAAGCCAGGAAGCTGAGATGAGGATGGAGAAAATTCCAGCCATGGGCGACAATCAGGGAAGGCGCTCTGAGTCTAGAGATGGAATGTCTTGTGTGAGGAACAGCCATTGCTTATAGTATTTCTATTTATTCCTTAACAGTTGCCCAGTTCAAACTTCTGATCCTATTACCCCAAGTTACCCTCTTTGGTTCAGGATTTGATTAAATTCAATATATATTTATTATGCACCTACCATGCAAGAAAGTCCACCAGGGCTGGGGATAAACAGACAAAAATAAACACTCCTTGCCCTCGGGGAACTTACATTCAACTATAATGTTTAAAATACTGTTTTTCTGAGTTACCTACCCTCTGTGTTAGCAATTCCCAAAGCTCTAATTGTTTGCTATCCTCCCCTTGCCCAAGTATACTTTCTCATACGTGCTCTGGTAAAGTACTGCATGGCATTCATTGAAAGAAAATTAGTTTTTAATACCTCCTTTCCACCCCTTTCTCTTAAATAATTAAAGTCAACCTGAGGAATTGCAAAATCAGGGTTATGAATCACTGCTGTAGCACCTTCTCTTTTCCCAATAGGTGCCTTGATATTAAGTGTGTATCTCCTGCCCTAATACTTACTGAGTTAAGTCCATGTGGTCTGCCAAAATTTGACATATCCATTCATTTTCAGTATTTATGAATTCTTGTAGATGTTCCATGATATACAGACATGTAGTATGTAGATATTGTGCTGGTCTGAGAGGAGGAAAAAGAGGTGGGTCATTATGGATGATGGAAAGGAGGGAATAATTTTCCATAGTAGACACTAGCTTTCATTCAGGTTGCTCTAATAAGTAACTTGAAGCCATGGAAGCTAGTCTTGGAAAAAGTGTTCCAGGTCATAATGAATCCCTAAGGGATCATTTTCTTTTGCATTTATTCTTGTACTTACTCATTTTAGCTGAGGTTGAATGTATTAGTTTGGTATTGCTTGCCAGGAATAAGTAAGAGACTCCACCCTGAATTGCCTCACCCTGTGTAACTGTTCAGCTAATGTTTTATGACTACACTGATGCAAAAGTATGGGTTTTTAATAGGATAGGGAGGCTACCCTGTGAGCACAATTTTCCTAAAGAGGACCAGTGTCTATAGCTCTGATACTCCATGAATAGTTATAGCATATTCATTAATGTGATTTTTTTTAGCAAAATTTTCATTCAAAAGGAAGACATAGAACTATTTTGACTTAAAATGTGAATGGATTAGATTCTTCAGTATAATGGAAGAAAATTACAAAATGAATATACAAACAAAAACTAATAATTTGATAATTATAAGAAATATAGTTTTTAATTAACCAATTATCAGCATTTATTAAGTGCCCGCTCTGTACCAGACACTGAGTTAGATACTTGGGATACAAATTCAAAGAATGAAAAAAGTTTATATTCTAATGGAAGATATTAAAAGTACATAACTATATGTATATATGAGTATTTGTGTACATATACATATATACATATATATGACATAGCATACATATAAAGTGAATAAATACAAATGTATACAAAGTGGCAAAATATGTGATAGTTTGGGAAGGGAGACACTAACGGTTGGGATCAGGAAAGCCTTCATTCAAAAGATGGTGCTTGAATTCCATCTTAAAAGAAGATAAAGGCTCTATGAGATAGAGATAAGGAAGAAGTGCACTCTGGGCACGTGGGATGGTCAGCACAAAGGAAAAGAGATGTGAGATGGAATGTCACCTGAAATAGTATGAGGGGTGGAGGCAAGATGGCAGAGTAAAAGCAGTGACTTGCTTGAGCTCTCCCCCAAACCCCTCCAAATACCTAAAGAAATAGCATAAAAGAAGATCAGGTAGGCTAGAAAGCAGAGAGCAGTGGGGCGAGGGGGTATGATCAATGAGACTGGAAAGAGAGTTCAGAGCCAGGTTATAAAGCATTTAAAAAACTAAATATAAGAGTGTATATTCTATTATGGAGGCAATGAGAAGTAAATAGAGTTCATCGAGTAGAGTAATGGCATGGTCAGATCAGCACTTAAGGAAAATTATTTTGGAAACAATTTGTAGGACAGACTGGGATAGTGAGAGACAAGTCAAGGAGACCAGTTAGAAGGCTGGTGCAGTAATCTAGGCAAGAGATAATGATGGGTTAGTACCAAGGTGGTAGATATGTGAGTAGAAAGAAGGACTGAGATGTGAGAAATATTGAAGATATCAAAATGGCAAGATTTGGCAACTGATTGGATATGTGGGATGAGAGAGCAGAGTCAAGAATGTGAATCTGTGAGACTAGAAACATCGTGGTACCTTAGAAAGAAATAGAAAAGTTTGGAAATAGGGAGTATTTGGGGATAAAGATGAGTTCATTTCAGACTTATTGAATTTGATGTGTGTGTGTGTGTGTGTGTGTGTGTGTGTGTGTGTGTGTGTGTGT